TCATGGCGCATGAGTTGTGTCAGGGGCTCCAAAACGCCTCGGTGTTTTCACGGCGCCCGAAGACGGCGAGGGCTTCTTGCTGCGAAGCAACAGCATGCAAAACGACACCAGAGTGGTTCGCTTCATCAGATCTGCCAGTCGGCCAGCGACCAAGGAAAAGAGCGCGCCAGTACTGAAAAACACAATGGCCACAATGCCTCAGGTGTGGCCGCATTGAGTGTTCGAAAGCTGACCAAACCAGCAAGACATAGCAAGGCCTTGCAAAACATAAGGCTGGTCACCAATCTGCAACACCAGTGATGCCAATCGATTGACAACACCGTGCTCAAGTCACAAGTCCATAAATCTCTCCCTCACTCCCTCCTTCTCTCTCCCTCCAGCACAAACCCACTAGCCTAGGGGGTATCAAATATTTCGACATACTTCGACAGCAGGGTGTTGACTCACACGTATTCGTTTTCACATCGTCCGCAGGATTCGTTCGTTCGCATGGTCCGCGGTGCCTCCGAGCATTTCGTCTCTCTGTGGGCCATCAAAGTGAAATTCCTTGGCCACCTGGGACATATTGGCCTCAGTTCGAATGCATGGCGTGTTGTTCCCCCACACAAGGACGGGAGATGTGGTAAGGCCACCCTCCAAATCGGGCACATGAGTGGAGTGAAGACTCAGGCTAGGTCAAACCTTCCGAGTTTGACAACACATGAAGAGAAAGCTCCTAGTAGCGTCTTTGCTCGTAGTAGTAAGGCCAGGAGCCCCTAGTAGCGTCCTTGCTCCTAGTAGCGATGCCCTTATCACCATGAACACTATCACCTCTGAGATGTTCTTTACCTCAAGCCTTGGCAAACACGACATGATGACTCTCAAGGGGGACCCCTGCCCTTTGCCCTCTTATTGAAGTGCATATGTTCAAAATATTACTATTTCAAGATGCAACACACGGGATCCAATTGCTTGGACCGAGTTGAGAGAGTTTCGAGTGGGGAGGATCCTCGACAGATCTTCGATCCGCCGGTCAGACCGGCGTTTCTGGCCGAAATTTCGGGGCCCTGGGGTGCTGTTTTTATTGGCCTATTGAGACACCCCATCACCCCCAAATGCTGATCATATATACAAATACGTAACCCCCCTCTATAATTACGCATACACATCATTATATAATCAATCATTATCAATAATATTAATCCTCTTGTGTATTGTTTTGCCCAAGTGACTGGAAGTAACGGCTGGTCAGCCAGCAGCAGCAATTGTGCCAGTGCCAAGGGAAGCAGTTTTCGGTGGTGATGCACTTCGGCTAGCACCAAAAACGGCAAGCCTTGGGGAGCACCATTGGTTAGAGAGCGGACAAGTCAAAAAGCACATGCAAAAGGTCCTCGCTACGAAAGCTATTCGATTTGGGCTGACTTGGGAGAGGGGGTCACAGAGCTTGTCGGTTTCAATCTGTTTCGATTCGATTCGATTCTGCGGGAGACTCTTAGACGGTGTTTGTTTGTCACAGTGCTTGTCACGTTTTGTTTTTGTTTTTGGCTTTCAATGATTGACCCGGATGACTTGTGAAGCTCTTGAGAATTTCTTCATGGCTAGCTCGACAGAGCGTGGATAGGTATGGAGAGGACATTGCACGGATTTCGTTTCATGCAAAGACGAGAATAAATACGAGACTGCTTGGAAGAGCCTATTTCTTCATCAATCTGGAGCTCTGCAAACGTTTATTTCGCCAAGGACCCTTTGAGATGCTGTGCAAGGTGTTGAGATAAATATATCTTTCCAGCAGGGCCCACACAAGCAAAGAGATGTTGGTATTGGGTCTGGTTCAGCACCAAACAAAAGAGATGTCATGCGCGTGCGGAAACTACTCCAATGGTGGTTTGGCCCTGTTCGATGTGTGTGTGTGTTGATTTATTTCCGATTTGTTGATTTAAACCATATTCATATTGTTCTCGGACCCTTTCGCCTTTCCGTTCTTCGCAGGGCCATTTCACAGGTTGAGGCTTGAGCGCTCTAGACTGGTATTGCCATTGCAGTAACTAATCTTAAAGTGCTAATGCTCACCGCGAATTGTCTGAAGCCAAGCTCGGCAGAGCTCTCATCTCAAGTGTGGTCGATTTGGCCAGGTCTTTGCACGCTGCTGACTCCCTCACATGGCCGAACTTACTTCCTCTGCGGCTCCTGGACGGTGGACGGCTTCATCCAAACGTGCGGACGGTGACCAGGGAGGGATCCACCGGTTGGTTTGGGGTGCGCTTGCTTTTTTTGGCGTAAAACTTTCACAAGAAGGGTCTAAAGCGAGAATGATCTCTGGAGGATTCTTTTCGCCTTGGAGACGTTCCGCCAAACATTCGCGCCCTTGCAGCTCGCGCGTAGAATCATGTCTAGAATCATGTAATCAGTCCCTGTCCCCAATAGGCCAAACTCAAGTGGATCAAATCATTGCGTGATATCACGGCCATGTGATTGGTGATGTGCAGATCATTTCCCACAGAGATTCATCACGTTTTCTTCTCAATGTTTCACACTCTAAGGATTCAAATTATGGGTAATTGCACTGGAGATCCATTTTAAAAACAACAAGCAGTCCCGGCAGTCTGGGATTGCACTCGAGTGTGTTTGGCGCTTCGGAAGCGGATCGAAGAGGCGGATCGAAGGCACGATCCGTGGCGCGTGGGCGCAAATGGTCTTCACTGAGGCCAAGGAGCTAACGCAACATCCACGACTCTTCCCTGGACTTTTGCTCGGGGTGTCGTCCTTCTTTCCAAGCTCGTTGTCCGATCGGTTGGCTTCCCCATGCCGAGAGAGCTCAAGGGACATGAGCGTTTGGATGGTGGTTTTAATGCCTGCAGCTTGTCTACTAATGTTGATAAAGCAATAGCAAAGCAAACAGAAAAACAACTGCTACAAGTGAGAGAATAAAGTGTGACCCTAATTCATACTAATCAATTCTTAGCCTTAGCTTCAAAAATGGACAACAAGGACATATCGACGCACCTGAATCTACTAGACTGAAGCACCTGAAACAAAACGAACACTCTTCCAAGCTGCTCTTGCATCGTGCCCCATGACTTTCCTTTTTGTGCATATTTGTGCATCATGTACTTGCACACTTGTCTGCCATGATCCTGACCTCTGAAAAAGAAGGCGCCTGGAGAGTTCAGTCGACCAGTCGACTTGGAACGCTGACCATGTTCACTCTGGGCCCGTCCAATTGAAGTTGGCTTGGTATTGCTGCTGAACCCGAACATGCACATGCACATGCGTCAAGGGGAAAACGCGCGGTGCGACTGTCGGGAACGTGAATGAAAGTAGTGTGATGACAAATCTCACAAACAGAAGAGGGTGGTTTAATATGAATGCTCTCAAACACGACCAGGTGTTCATGCCATCATACACCATCTGGGCCGCCATCGACATCAGTTGAAGCCATGAAGATGATGTGGCCAACAGTCGTCAAGCAATCCGCAGTTCTTGACCCGGACCATGAGCTGTGGGGATTGATCTCACCGTCTCTCTGGGGAAGTCTGTTTTAGGCGACAAAAACTGGTGATGCTTCGCTCAAAAACACATGACTCATTACGTACACTCCCTGAATAGTCCTGGGAGATCATGCAAGTAGACAATTGAAAAAATGGACCCCTTGGACCATTTTCCTCCACAAACAGGTGGTTTTCCACTTCCATGATTCTTTCAGGAAGTGTAGATGCCCTCATCTGGAGAAGTAGGACCCTACTGGTCGGGGGGTTAAATTCATCAACAAATATCAACCATGAACACCGCCTTCAAACTTCTTCCGTCGATTGTACAGGCACAATTCGCCAGGAACTGACATGGTCAGGCCGAAGCATGGCGCTCTTTTACTCGTCGTCAAGCAATCCCTGACCGCGGAGCCACTGCAGCTCGCCGTGCCATTGGTCGACACCCTCGTGCTTGCCCACGTTCTTGCTCTTCGCCTTGCGTATGGAACTACTTGAGGCCAAGGGGGGGGCGAAAGCTAGCGCTCCAGAATGGGAAAGTGGAGGGCAGCGAGGTAGGAAAAAACACGGCGCTCTTTTTGGAGGCAGGGGTGAAGAGTCCTTTATATGTGGCTCTTTGCCCGGATCCTCCTGCGAGAGAAGAGAGAGAAGAGAGACGGAAAGACGAGAGACAGAGAGGAGAGAGAGAGAGAGAGAGGAGAGAGAGATGAGAGAGATGAGAAAGAGATGAGAGAGACAGTGAGACAGTGAGAGAGTGAGAGTGAGAGTGAGCGAGTGCGGCCGCAAGATACGCAACGCTAACCGCATGCCAAAGAGCGACGACAGGACGGAGTCGAACTTGCGAAGAGGGAGGAGGGAGGGAGGGAAGATGGGAGGAAGACAAGGAGGAGGAGAGGGGGGGAGGTGGGGAGAGGGGAGGAGGGGAGAGGGGAGGGGAGGGGAGGGGGGGGGGTCTTCGACCTGAAAAATCAGGGGTTAGGATTTGCACCCGGTCGAAAGAAACCTTGCTATCGCATGCTATCGCAAGAGTAACTCCAGCTAGCTTCGCTAGCTTTCGTGATTTTGAACACAGCAACAATTCACCCTTTTCCATCTCGTCCCTCCCATGCCACCATGTCTTCTTCCCTGCCCTTCCCTGCCTCCGAAGCAATGCTTTGTCGCCCCAGGAAGCCCTTGCAAATGAAGAGCATCTCACGAGTAGACCTAACAATTGCAACAGTACAAGACTGAATATCTCCCGGTTCGGCATCATCTGAATAAACAAAAAGAACGTAGAAGATACAATGCAAACACAAAAAACAGCGAAAATCGTTCATCTTTTGTAATGTTAATACTCTATACTCGCGGTTCCGCGGTTCGCCAAAGCCATTGTGTTTGCTGTCGAGTTGGCTACGCGGCGACGAGATCGGTTTTGGGGAGCACCTTGCAAGAACTGTCGTGACCGTCTCGGCAAAGTCATGACAACATGGGTCACTCACATGCTCGAGAGGTCATGGCAGCCTGGTGGACCACCGAAAATGAACCATAATGAACCACTCGGGAGGTCAACCTACCAGGGATTAAGGGGTGCCATGACCCACAGGCATATGGTTCACCTCGTTTAGGACATTGGCGTTTTTTTGCGTCGTCCTACTATGTCCGACCTCCCAAGGACCAAGTCTTCATCGTTGATGACACTCACCACCTGTAACTTCACCACCTCAAGAGTGGACTTGATTACTTCACCACCTGTCTTCAAAGTGGCCTTGATTTGGGTGAAACACTGAAAGTGCACGACTCAGCCACCTGTAACCCAGGCCATCCGGACGACTCATGGCCATCCGGTCTTCGAACAGCCATGGTGACACCGTAAAACCGCCCCAGGCGCTTCTGCCCACGGCACCGGATCGCTCCCGGTCGGATGGAGCGTACGGTGTCGAAGCGCGAGTCCAAATACCTCGGGGTCGGTGGCTTCTTCGCGAGTCCAAGTACCGAACTCCAGGGATGAACTGGAGGAAATCGAGGACTAGGTGTGGGCAGTGCCATCTCATGGCATCAAATGGCTAGAGGGAAGAGATCTGAAGGGCTGATAGGTGGAGCTGGATTGCGAGTTGAGTGTGTGGGGGGTGCAAAGGGCATTTTTGAGGCTTTGTTGGTGAAAAACAACTTTTTTACAGCAATGAATGACATATTGATGCTAAATGTAACATAAATGTATTAAGATGTATGAAGTACCGCAAGACATGTTACAGTACCCTGAAAGGATGGCTGCATTGGGACGAATGGTACTTTAAGGGAGGAATGATATCCCTGAGAGGGTTTCCTGTGCCTTTGCGAACCTCCCAGGGATGGTTCGCAAAAACTACCTGGTGCCCTTCAGTGGCTATGGTGATATTTTGTGCCAGTACTTGTCTCAAAATCATCCCTGGACCCTGGATTTCCCTAGACTCATGGAATGTCTCATCTTGAACGTGATCACTGGACACTCTGGACATCAACGAAAACACTGGACTGCCCTGGTTGATTTTCTCTGGAGTCCTCCAGTAGGCACAAACAAAGTGCATCATTGCATCACTTGTGCCGTCCAATCATCCTCCAGCTTCCAGCTCGGCTGTGCCAACTGAGTCAATCTTCAGCTTCCAGCAGCCTCCAGCAGCTTGATACCAGGCACCCGGACGCGCGCAAGTGAGTCATCTCCGGACCAGACTGGGCCGCCCAACGAACGACCGAACGACATCGAACGACCCAACGACCGCGACGACACGCGCGGACTCGGAGCAGCGTGGCGCAGCGCGAGAAGGCCGACACGGTGTCAGATCATCCGACATCTGTTTTGAGGTTGGTCAGATCTGACAATTCCGCACCAGGCACTTAAGCCATAGCCACTGAAGGGATGGTTTGCCACTCCCTGGTGCCCTTCAGTGGGGTTGCTGGAGGATTTCTTGAAACATCGATGGCGACAACGATGGCGCCGCCACATCTCCCAGCCGCCTCTGCGCGGCTGGACCGCCCAAATATGCCCAAATCAGATCCTTTCATCTCAAAAGTCCGCGGCTGTGGCAGTTTGGTCATTCAAATAAGAACCTCACAGTTGCATAAGTTGCTTCCCATGCAAGACCAAGTTGAACCGCTACAAACTCCCTTGGCCTCCCTTAGAGGTACACTCGAGAAGTTTCAAACTGTTTCCGCTCTGATCGCCAGCCAAACCCGGAGTTGGCCACCCACTTCTCAACCTAGAACACTGGTCAAACCCGAACCCCCTAGACCTTTCTTTCCTTCAAACCTACCTAGAAGGCAGTTGGTTTCTAGTGGCAAATGATGGCTTGTGGCCCACATGTGGCCGCTGATCGACCTGTGCTGAGCTTGTTCAATGATGTTCGGCCTCCGGTCGTTTGCCTTGGGCTTCCAAAACATACTCTTTCTGGGTTTGACGTACATGTACGGTCTTACGGTCTTACATATGCTGTATATCATATGCAGTTGTACTTATCTTGGTCTTTGAGCTGAAGTTACCGGGGATTCCAAAGATCTTTCAGCAGCTTGCAGGCAAACTTCCCTGCGGTACTTGGAAGACCTGTACCGCTCCCATCTCCGTCGCCGCTCGCCTGGAATTTCAGCACGAAGAGGCCTCCCAGTTTTAAGGTCCTCCAATGAGTGACGGGAGGGACGGCAGCAACGGCTGGGAAGGTTGGCCGATTGAGTTCATCTAAGCTGGGAAGCACTGCATAGGAAAAGAACACACATGAACAAACATGAAACACACACACGCACATGCACACTTCGACATTGGTTTTCAGTTAACTCAACTTCCAGGAAAAAGGTGATGGAACGGAAAGGTGAAAGAGTCGGCGCAATTGTATTGTTGAACGTTGTTTATGCAAGACTGCTCAATGATCAGTGCGGCTGCACATCTGCAGTGGAAGAATGGGTTTGTGGGGAGTAGCATGAAAACCACTATGGCAGCAAAAAAAGGAAAGAGTGGAGTGACAGCTTGTGAAAAACTCAGCAGGTACATGGTTGAGCGTCCTCAACCACTTCCCTTCCAGTGACGCAGCTTCGTTGGATCAGGTTAGTCACTGAGCTTGGCACGAACGGTGAATGAAAGAACCCTTTGAGACAGGGCTGGACACACACACGGTGCCGCTTGGCGGCGCTCGCGTGAGAGACCTGAATAGATACCTAAAAAGCCTTAGAAACGAAAGATTTACAGAAAGAGCAGCGCTAAGAGGGCAAGAGAGAAAGATAGGTGTAGAAAATGAAAAATGAATACTTAGCACTTGACTGGGGTAGGGAAACCAGCCTCAAGAGCCACCTAAAGAGCCTGAGAGAAAGCCCAACAAACGACGAAAAGCGTAAGAAGGAAAAGGGGGGGCAGGGAGTGTATGTCCATGTGTGTGTTTGAATACCTAGCACTCTAGAATTACTGAATACTTAGACGAAGTGAATTAGGTGCACTACTTAGGGAGCGGGACTTTTGTCTTACACCGCCCGGGTAGAGTAGACTAGAAAAGGGACAACAGAGGGAAAGGCACCGACACACACAAGTGTGTCGAGTACCATTTCCCTATGTTACCCTAATTAGGTAGGGAGTAGAACGCAGTGGGGGGGGGGGTCGGGAGACCTGCCTCAAGTGGGGGGGAAAAAAGCCGTTTTTAAGCCCGGCGGCTAGTAGATTCGTCTTTTAGCCCGACGGCTGTATGAGCAGTGAATTCAGGGTGGAAGAGTGGCAGTGAGGAAAGTCAAGGAAAGGAACGAGTCAGTGAAATGAATTCCGGAATGAGTGCAGCGCCTCCTTGCGGAGGATCACACCCAGCACCCATGTGGGACGGCTGAGCGGCTCACACTTCGACATTGGTTTTCAGTTAACTCAATTTCCAGGAAAAAGGTGATGAAACGGAAAGGTGAAAGAGTCGGCGCAATTGTATTGTTGAACATTGTTTATGCAAGACTGCTCAATGATCAGTGCGGCTGCACATCTGCAGTGGAAGAATGGGTTTGTGGGGAGTAGCATGAAAACCACTATGGCAGCAAAAAAAGGAAAGAGTGGAGTGACAGCTTGTGAAAAACTCAGCAGGTACATGGTTGAGCGTCCTCAACCACTTCCCTTCCAGTGACGCAGCTTCGTTGGATCAGGTTAGTCACTGGAAGCCTGATCCCCCTGCTCGAGCTTGGCACGAACGGTGAATGAAAGAACCCTTTGAGACAGGGCTGGACACACACACACACACACATTCTTATGCACATTCATAGTAATTATAGTTTGACAGTTATACATTTGTTTAGCTAATATATGATTCATCCATCGATCCATCCATCCATCCTTCGTTCCGTCGAAAACACACTTAGGCATACAAATGGTCCTCTTCCTAATCAATATCACCCGGACCTCCAACTCTCTTTGCCCGTCCTCTCCATGATCCTCGCCGCCTGGAGGCAACCTCAGGGCCAAGGCCGCGGCAGCCAGCGGGAGCTCAGGGTCCAGTGCAACAAAGGTCAGGTGAAAAATGTCTGGCGGGAAGCATGCACACTGAGGTGTACCAAAACTACAGGATCAAAGCGCTAGTAGAGCTCTTCATTCTCAACACACACCACTGCCATATCTGCCATGCTTATCCCATGCTCATCTCCCAAAGCCGCTGCAGTGGCATAAGCCGCTTCGGTTCCGGGAACAACTGACCAACGGCGGGAAAGGTCGCGGCGGGAAGGGGTCGCTGCTTCAACTGCGGGAACGGTCGGTGAGAAGGAGGTCTCTTCAAAAGCCTCGTTGATGCGTCCTCTGGGTTTTGGAGATGAAGGCCGATTCGACCTCATCTGTCTCGTTCCAAAGACCTCGAAGATCAACCAGGTCACAGCCAAAGAAGAGCTTAAGTAGCTTGTAGTGTAGCTTGTAGTGTAGCTTGTCTCAACATGGGGCCCCTTGTCTATACGCAAGTTGACCTCCCTGAACGACTCAAACCTGGCGGACCCGGCACTGCATCGAGTTCAAATGATCCTCGCTCTTGAGGCCTCCACCGACGGATCCGAGAACCAACCGGGAGACCAAGATCGATCCATTCGGAAGGGAGAAGGGCAAGTTGAAGCTGTGGAGGTGGTGTTTTTTTGAGGCCAAGGACAGGAGACAGATGAGTTCAAGATGACTATAGATGACTTATGATGACTTCATGTTTGAAAGATCATGGGAGTGCCATTCATGGAGTGTATCTGAGGACCGGAGTGTTTTCACGGACCCTTCGGCCAGTCGCTGCTGTCGTCCCTTCCACCATCTACCTGGACCAACCGCTGAGCCAAAACGATCAAACATGGCACCACTGGTTCTGGACATGCTGTAGTGGTGAGCAGAACTCCAAATGTCCACAGGGTGTTAGAGTAGGTGTTAGTAGATGTGAGTAGTATCACCTTGTGCAACGAACATAAAACCATACAAGAACAACCACAACCGAGAACAGTTGTAGAACACATCACGGATGAGTGACTCATCCTCAGTGGATCCTGTGACTCCTCCCATCCGCCCATGTCACGGAGTCCGTCTCCGTGCGGGGGGGGGGGTCCGCACCCACCAACGCGGGCGCCAGGTCCGACAAGACCAGGTCCGCTCGGCGATCGCCCAGCCTGAGACGGACGGACGCGGGGAAGGTCCGGTCCAGCCAGTCCAGGCGGAGGGACCCTGCAGGAGGGGACCCCGATCAGCTGCGGTGGTATTTTGTTTCAAGAATTCCCTGTGTGAGACAGTCTTTGGTAGTCCCTCTGGTATATACTCCAAGACGATCTGGCTCAGGAGGATACAGTGTAGAAACGGGGGTCTTTTCATGACTCCGGAGTCCCGTTCTCGAGGTCCTTTTGAGTAGGTCTCAAAATGTCTCAAAGATATAGATTCAGGTGTTCATATCATGTTTCATGATCGTCATATGATGTCAATGACATCTCAACATGGGCTGGGAGACCACCAAAGGAAAAATAGAAAAAGGACACCAAGAAACGGACGTCAACCAACAAGCAATTTTTGCTTGCTGCTTCTGGGTTCGCATTGTGTCCCAGTCATTGATGTTCTTCATCTGTTGGTCTCTTTGGGCTTTAGGGACAAACTTGCTTTGTCTTCCTGATCTGAGTCGAAGGAACTCGTCAGAAAAAGGAACGGCTTCCAAGCTTCATTCCCATATTCCCTCAGGTTTAATAGTAAAACACTCGAAGATCAATCCCTTGTGTGAATCGTCAGTCGTGTCAATCAACGAAGTAGGAAATCAACATGCAATGCCATCCCCTGAAGTATCAAAATATCTGACCTACCTCTCTAGACCGTCTTCTCATCATGCTTCGGACTGTCCAGTCCGCGCGCGGGTGTTTTTGCCCACAGCTTAGCCGGGAGCCCCGAACGTCTTCAGAATCTGCCGCAAGGTCTCCTGAGGCCACACAAGTCTGGTGCCCCAACTCGAAATCCCTAAGTCGCCAGGGTGACGAGATGGCACCACCATGGCGCGAACCACCCGCCATGCCCGGGCCATTCCGACATGTTGTCTTCCCCACCCCACCCCCTCGGTCGGTTTCACGCCTCGTGGGCCACGTCGCCTTGGAGGAAGGTGTGATACTCCAAACCATCCATGCGAGTGGCATCCACGCCTGGAGGCTTCGCCCCGCGCACATCACTGGCGAACAACCCACATCGGGACGCTGTTCAAAGGAACGACCGACGTTTAAGCGACAAGAGACAGAAGAAACAGGAGAATACTGAATGTCTCTGAGCATGTCTCTGAATGTCTCTGTCTGTTTTCTGTTTTGGAGGGTGTCGAAGATCCGGAGGGTTGGAGGTTTTGCAAGCAAAGAGGCACTTGTGTGCTTTGTTTGCGTTGGCTAATTTATGTGTTTTTTTCATGATGACATCATTAACAGCACTCAGTGTTTCATGCGTTCCAACCTGTGAATTCCTGCAGTGCTTCAAGCGGCTTCTTCAGGAGAGTCATGTTGAAGATTGAATTGAATGGAGCTCAAGTTCACGGATGCTCCATCTTCAACGTTCTATCTGACCGGCACTGGCTCAACCGAGATTCCAACCGAAGGTTTCGTGGGCTTCAACACATGGCCGGTGCGAGCCGGCACCAGCCAAATGTCAGAATCTCATTTTCATGGAGATCGTTACTCGTTCACATAAACATCATTTCCTTCAACCTCCTCTTTGAAGGTCCAGTGCTTTTTCTTTCAACCTCCTATTTAAAGGTTCAGTGCATTTTATTCGTCAAGCCATCCCCCCCAACTCAAAGAGCTGAAACTCGAACACTGGGTGAATCAGGGGCTGCTTGGGCATGGCTGGACCCGAGGGCGTCGTAGAAGGAAGCCTATACGTCAACAAGCCCTTCGCGGATGGCGGCTACGAAGGAAGCCTATAGAAAAGAGTTTAATTACACCATGACATACATGAAGAGTTCATACACCAGTTTCATACATGTTTAAACGTCCAACCCAGTGAAAACATCAGTTTCATCAAAAGATTCTCGAAGCTGGAAGGAGATACCGACGGCTGTCCGACGATGGACAAACGGCGACACACGACTGGGACATCGCGCCGATCACGCGGCTGCTGCTGCTGGAAGCTTCGCTCCTGACCCCGGCAACGTTTCGAAAACACAGGCGTGTCAGCAGGCCCTTCTCTTCTCCCTCCTGAAGAATTAGAACTCCCATTGTACCTCCATCTGAGGAATAACAATAAACACATATAAACATCAAATAACATCAATAAACGATCTTGCAATGGGTTGTCACGTGTTACCCACTTTCTGGAACAAACACATGCAAGTTCAACGAACTCTTCATCAGGGTGTGATGTCCAAGCTAAATGAAACTACACTTTGAAAGCAATCTTTCTTCAAACATCTTCAAACTAAGTGTGATGTCAAACTAGATGTCAAGTGTGATGTCAAGTTTCTTGATGTCAAAGAACTACTCAGTACTCGAGTCAAACACCCCATCGTTGCCCCCCCCCACTTCTCGAAGGAACGTTTTGGTTGATCCACCCAACGGCTCACACCGCAATTTCACACCGTTTTGTGGTGCCCAAAGTGTCCCACAAGGTGTGGCCGTTGTGGCTTCGCGGTGGCTTCGACATCGACTGGCTTCTGCCGTTTGAAGGTGGCCTGTTCCAGATGGTTTCTGTATTTCTTTTGGCCTCGGCTCTCACTTTACATTGGTGCCCTTGCTCTTGACCGGATCTGTTTGCGGGGCCTGCGAGGGATGGTCACCCATCTGTGCTACGACACCTCACAGCCGCTTTTGCGCCCGTAGCGCGCTGGCGCGCGCGTGCGCGTGGCAGTGGTCCTTTCAATGGCCACCTGGGTTTCCACAGGTGAAGGCTCTTGAGCGGCGGCGATCAACCAGCAAGGGTCACATCCACCACCAAGGGTCACATCCACCTGACTTCGGTGGTGGTCTTTGAGTGCTCAATCCTGATGTAAGACAGATGTAGCTGCGTATAGCTGCAAATAAGGTAACCAAGCAACATTCTTCAGAGTGACCAATCATTGGTCTCATGTTTTAACCAATGGACCAATGTACTTAAAGAGGTTCAAAAGGCTGAGATAATGAAAGAACAACTTGTTGGTAGAGGTAGGTGAGGTACCTCCTCTATAGAGCCTGGGGCCTAATCCTGTTTATGGTGTGCATAATAACCAGTCGATAGTGTGTCATCCCCACCCAAAGCGGTCGATCCTGCTTCGCACACCCTCTGCATCGGCAATTCGATGGGGTCTCTCTTCCTCCAACTCCACCCTACCGCTGTGCCTCAGACCATCCGCCCGGGAAGCAGCCCAGATCCAAAACCACCTGAAGGCCAAACTCGCGCGACGACGCCCAAACTCGCCCTTCCACGAGCCGTTCCGCATTGGTGAAGTGGTGCTCGTTGATGAGCCGAGTTTCGGATGCGTTCGTACTCCGTGTATGCGTGCAACCGGCGCGCAACCGGCGCGCCCGTCGTCCTTAGGTTCGCTGCTGTTTGTGTGCAACTGAAGCCTTCCGGCAGGTTGTTGTTGTTGTTGCTGGTGTTGCTGTTGCTGTTGCTGTGGCTGTGGCTGTTGCTGCTGGTGTTGTTGTTGTTGTTGGTAGCAAAAGACACCGCCGCCGAACATAGTTGTCACATTTTGTAAATCTGGAACTTCAAGGGGACAATGTTAGAGATATGGTTGAAGGTTTGAGGGAATGTTGGTTTCGTAAGTAGCTGGACTTGTTGGGTTTGTTTCACTGAAGTCTGGCTTGGTCTGTTTTTAGTGGTCTTTAACATGTGATTTTGAGGTGTTGTTCTGGGGGGGGGTCAAAAACAGCAACGGGGTTGCAGTCATTGTTTCTAGGAAGGGGTAGAGAAACAAACACCTTTGAGGGGGAGAAAAACGGTCTCCAACTCTTCCCAACTATCTAAGCTGATAGAAAAGCTGTATCCAAGAGAGATCGATCCTATATGAGAGTTTTTCCTGACTCTCCAAGGTAATACTGTATCTAAAGGGGATGGGAAAAAAAACCTATCCCTCGGACAAACTATCCCCTGTATCCATGGCGATGTCCTCGACACAGTGTGGCTTTTGCCGATGCCCGCACTGTCCTGATCTGTGGTGCCCCAGCACTGTCCGGTCTCAAGAGCGAAAAACGATCATCCAGCTGCCTGCGCATCCGGAACTCTGTCCGCCGGTCGGAACTCGGCGTGGAGTCGAAAAAGGACAGAAAAGCCCCATGATGTCCATCAGCACTGTGAAAGAACACGGACGTGGGAACCGTGTGTTCTGTGAAGATCAATGGAACAAATGCAACACATAGTCTTTGAATGTCTTTGAGACTTTTTGAACATAGAGTCTTGCAGCTAGAATATTTGGAGCCGCAACCGAGTGTCGAAGCTTTTCCTTTTCTCTGACCACCTCCGGTATCCTCCGGTGGGTCATCCCAGCAGACAGGTCCGTTTGATCGAGCGAACGACACGAACGAGCTAGTATATTATATTATAATACAATATTCAATACAGTCAAAGTAACTATAGTAACAATAGTATAATAAAACATATTATAAACGTATGATATATTTGCGCTATATATATACATAGTGCAAACACCTTCTTCCCTCACCAGCGGCTCAAATAACCACCGCCGCGACGAAAACAGCGACTCCCTCCTTCGCCGTCTCCCGTCTCGTCTCCGTCTCCATCCGCCTTAAGACCCAAGCTGCTGGAGAGCGATAGGGCGCCCGCCTCGGCCTCGCCGAAAAAGACCCCGGGGAACTCCGGTGAACTCACCAACGTTGTTTTTTTTTGTGTGACGTTCAGAAAACATCCGAACACAAAGACCTGACCGAAACTCTGGACTTGCGTAGTATCTCCAAATTTTGGAGACGCGTGAGATGTGAGATTGGATGAGATTGGCAATGAGATGGTGCGCTTCGCACAAACGCAGGGGAGACTTCTCCAAGGTTTGTGCAAAGAGAGTTCCCACTTCGACGAAGAATCTAAATTCTTCAAGGTTGTGCTCCAGTGGCTGCTGGCACAGCACAGCAACAAAAGCAAGCAACATGAGAAGCAACGTTCTTGCTTTTACTTTTTTTTGCCGCTGTTGCTAACAAAGCTTAACACAGCGTTGCCATTTCTTTCCACCGCCAAGCGGACCTAGACTGTTGCTGCTTCAAAGCCTGATGTTGGGGAACGGCAGCAGAATCACCTCCTTAGGCATCGTAGGATTACCTCCTCAACATCTCTTGGGAGAAGCCCTGCCCTTTGGGCCCAAACGGCTCGAAAGGCGCGCAAAAATGACAAATTTGGATCCAACTCGGACACTTGAATATCTTGCTTCTGTTCTGGGTGGACATTGCCAGGATGAGCTTGGAGGGCAGAAAATGCCACAGAACTGCCGCCTTCCCCGGAATCATTTCCGAAAGAACTCCTCAGCAAACTTCAAGGCTCTCTCTGCCAAGTCCTCCTTCTGCGCCAGCGCAGAGGGCGTGTCAGGGTCACCCAGCACCCGCCCTGCATTGCCATTGAGGTAGGCGCCAGTGACCAGCAGGTGGCAAGGCGCTAAGGCAGCCCAGGTTTGTAGAGCTGCGGCCTGCTCAATGGATTGAAGCGCCAAGAAGCTCGAGCGCTCCCAACGCAGCACCAACCAGACTTGACGAAGGATGGCCATAAAACCTCAGATTTTGAAGTAGTTGCTCAGTGGTGGTGTTCCAGGGCCCTTAACATGAAAAATGCAGCAAGGGTCGGTTTTGGACCTGATTGGAAGGCAGGAAAGTTACGAAGGGAAAGTGACTTGTTCCAACATTGAAGCCTTTGCAATGTCCAGGGACCGTGTTCCAGGGACCACGTTCAGTGTCGTTCGTGTCTGTGTAGGTCTCTTTGCCGAAGCAAAGGTTGACCTGAAGTTGAGCGGATTGCCTTGAAGACTCCCTAGAAGATTGTGGTCAGTGATAGTGTATTCTGGCTGCTGGCAAGTGATCACAAACACCTTATGTATTCAATGCTATCTACTTGTCGTGGCTCTTCGTGGTGGTTTGACACTTGCCACCTTTCGTCCAGTTTGCGTCAAACGGCCCATGTGTTGCAACATCGCCGTGCCCGCAGCCACTCCGGGGTGCAAGCACACCACTGGGTAGGGCACACGCTTTGACAAAGCCTTGGCCCACCAGATGCGGCAAAGGTTGCTGAAGGCATAGGCGTGGAGGTCATTGTAGCTCCTGAGTTTGCTGAGACGTTGGGCGGGCTGCTCCAGCCGGCCAAAAGAAGTCAGTTGTAAACTATGAACTCTGGTACCAATCATCTGGTGAGTGCCGGGAAAGTAAGAATATCAATAATATCAGCAATTTCTATGCATGAGTTTTGGATATGCTTATTTAATTATTGGATCTGCTTTCATTTGGGTGGGTGGTCTGTAGCACTCAGGATTGGCACGCACCAAGTGGCCAGGTGGATCGCCTTCTCTGCGCAAAAAAAAAGAAAACAGCCAGCGGTGCGAACAAAAGGCTCCCAGCATCACATCCGGAGCCAGCGCTCTATAGAGCTCTTCTTGGGTCATTGAGGTGTTTCGACCAACACTGACAAACAACAAACCTGATGGGGATACAGGTCGCGGGCTTTGGGCAAATCGACTGGGTGCGTGTGGACCCCCCCCCCCGAAGGTCTTCACTTTCCATGGTACTGGACCATAAAGACATATTAGAGTTGTCGACCAGCAAAACAAGGTCAAGATCGAAAGCATCTCCTAGGAGAAAACTGGGCCCAAAATGCATACCTGCTCATCTGACACAGCACATCGGCAGAGTTTTTGCAAAGCTTGGATCACTTCACAAGTTGCAGTTAGCTTGTTACGCTGACGCCGATGAGCGATTCAGGGTACCTGAGCTACACAAAAAATTTATTATCTAAGAACATCAGACTATCTAATCATATATCATATCTAATCTAACATTCAAACACCTAGCCTACACATTCAAACTTCAATCAGGATCATAATGAATCATCATCACGACAAAAACGACATAATATGTCATCCAAACAACCACCGCCCCAAATTTCAGCTGTAGTTCCTCGATCTTCCTTGCAAACTAAGAAGAGACGCGACCCTGCCATGCAGGCTTGACGTTTCTGTCCACCTCTCACCTATCTCAAGCTCAGAATGATTCCTCCACATCGAAGATCAACGTTTCTGCCGCTGGACGAGGCGTCTCACGACTCTTCATCCACACCCCGGCGACTTGACGTGGCTGCGGGTCATGGGCAGACCGACTTGGTTGACCGACCGACCGGTCCCACTCGCTGCCTGGTGGACTGGGAAATGGCGACCCACTCAGGGTGGGTCACGACCCCATCCCATTCCAGCAAAGGTTGAAGAAGCCTATAGACTATCCTAGTTCGGTACCCCTGTAGGGTCCTGTAAGGTCACTTAACCTCTGTAGGTTCCCCATTCTTGCCCAGGCTCTCTTCGCGCGGGGGCAGCTCGGTCTCCACATCAAAGCCCTCCTGACGGTCTGTTTCTCGGCGGGCGACACAGCTCGACCCGGTCGGTCTGTTCCTGCTTCCAATCGGTTTGCATTCAATGACTTGGAGTGGCACAACAAAAAAAGAAAAACAATGCAACACATGTTCCCCGCCACATAATTAATTACACACAACCTTTCCCTTTGAGGTGAACCCTGAGTGGAAGCGGACTGAGTGTATCTGCACATGGCACTCTACGGCTAGAAAAGACACCCTTGACCAAACTCCCGCCAAACGTCCCAACAAACATGTGAAATTCCGAAACCGAAGATGTGCTAAGGACGAAACTTATTACAGTTTTCTTGCAATACATTACATTACGCCACACTACGTTACCTTACATTACATACACAACGCTACATTAAGTTATCTTGAGTTGCATTAAATTACAACACATACAGATACATACTATACAGCATGTTGATCCCTCTCACCCCGGTGACATTTTGGCCGTCCTCCAGCACTCGTCGGTGGCTCTCCGAGGAGACGATCACCAGGCGCGCGGCCTCGGTGGCCCTCAACGTGGCGTCTAGCAGCGTGGCCAGCTGGTAGTGCCTCGGGTGGCGCAAGCGCCGAGACCCTGACGCGACCCGCGACACGAGACGTCACGGCGGCCGAGACGAGACGGAGAGGCGACCACGGTCGCGTCGGAGCCGAGGCGCGAGAGCGGAGGTTTGGGGCGTTCGGATGTCTCGGGGGCGAAAGTTGTCCTGAGATTCCCATCTAAGAGAAGCAAAGAGAGAAAAAACATCACACAATCAGTCATGCAATGACTGGAACACGAACACAGTGGCTCTCCCAACATATCCAACATGTTCAACACACTCGGAAGACATATTGCAATGGTTCCAATGTGATTCAATTGATTTGCGATCGTGTGAAAAACCTGCTTGGAGTCTCGAGACGTGAGGTGACACTCCGGAGATACGACCCAAACAGCACGTGAATGGTACAAGAAGTGGCACTACCATTCAATAGCGCACTTGTATCATGTGAGTAACAAATAATAGATACCACTAAACCCACCTGCACTCCCCGCCTTGCCAACCATCCATCGTGCATGGGTCTTGACATGTCTTGAAGGAAAGTAGCTTCATCATGGTGCTGCCTGCCTTACTAGTATGCGAAGATT